GGGGCAGAGAAAGAGGGAGAGAGAGAGATTCCCAAGCAGGCCCTGCGCCATCGGCACAGAGCCCGATGTGGGGCTCGAACTCACAAACCCCGAGATCGTGACCTGAGCTGAAACCAAGAGTCAGACACTCAACTGGCTGAGCCACGCAGACCCCCCTGGAGCTGTCTTTCGACACTCAGGCAGGCTGTTTGCCATTTTGCCTTAGCCTTCACTTCCTGCTTTTGCTGACACAAAAGGTCAGCAAGAGGTGAAAAGTTAGGGTTTTCTCGAATCTCTTCTGAGCCTGCACCATCTCAGTCATGCATGTAGCCTTCTAGATTCCCTGATACACGTAGGAACTCCTCAAACCCTTATTCCTTCAACTCTCCTCTCTCCCGGCCGCTTCCCTCCCCAGCTGCTGAGTATATTTATCTTTTGTTCGCCCTGTTATTTTTTGCCTCAGGCGGCTGAGGCTAATCTATTTGTCCTTAAATGCTTTCTGATGGGGAAGCCATTTCTGGTTGGGGGAAGCCCCGAGAACCTTGAGACAAACGCAGGCCCTTGAGCTGTTCCTTCAGATAGCCACCAGCTAAATCCACACGCGCACACAACCACAATTATTTAAGGAGAAGATCTGAATCTCCCTCTGGTACCAACAGTTTGCACCAGGAACAGGCCGCCCTTCAGGCGGGGTGTTGACAGTGGTAGTTAAAATGTCACAGCGCTCTTTTGCCCAAACTTGGTGTTTTCTTTCTTCGTTGAACTTTCTCCTATTTGTTGTAAGTTTTATAGTCCGGTCTTGGACTCCGAGAAAGTTGGTTCTGACAGTTTTTGCCAGCTTATCTGTTGCTTTTTGGAGAGGCAGAGTTTTGAAATTCCGTACCCTGCCAGTTTAGGGGACATTTCTTCCAACTGCTGCTTGACCTGTCTGTAACCTCTGAGGTCATTCGAACTCTACCCCAGCCCCGCTCCCTGAACTATCTGACTTTTTTTTTTTTTTTTAAGTTTATTTATTTATTTTGAGAGAGAGCTCGCGTGCACGAACTGAGAGAAACAGGGAGAGAATCCCAAGCGGGCTCCGTGCTGTCAGCACAGAGCCTGATGTGAGGTTTGATCTCACGAAGTGTGAGATCATGACCTGAGCCTAAATCAAGATTCGGATGTTTAACCCACTGAGCCACCCAGGTGCCCCTGAACTTCCTGACTTTTGACATTTTCACCTGGTGCCCAGATTAACCTACAAACATTGCTTCAATCTTGGCCTCTGATGACCCTGGTTAATTTCTCACTTCTGGCTCTGTCCTTTCCCTTGACCACAGGCTTCCCCCCACCACCACCTTCCGTGAGCCTCTCTAAACTCTGACCCCATCTGGGGGTGGCTCAGTCCCTTAAGAATCCGACTTCAGCTCAGGTCATGATCTCATGGTGTGTGAGTTCCGGCCCCGCCTCGGGCTCTGTGCCGACAGCTGAGAGCCCGGAGCCTGCTTCGGATTCTGTGTCTCCCTCTCTCTACCCCTCCCGCGCTTATGCTCTGTCTCTCTGTGTCTCAAAGCTAATAAATAAAACATTGAAAAAGAAAAATAAACTGTGACCCGTATCCATGACCCCTCTCTCTGTCTCTTCAGGGCTCCAACGCCGTGGCCTCGGCTCTCGGGGCCTGTTTGCTGCTCCGCGTGCTGGCACGCCTGGAGTCTGAGGCGGAGGAGGCGGCCCGGAGGAAGGACCTGGCGGCCAAGTTTGAGGGCCTGGGTGTTGGTGCGTCAGGCACGCGTGCGTGGGGGCGGGGACAGGGAGCTGCCTTGAGAGGTGTGCGCA